AGGGGCCCTTCTTCAGGCAGCTCCCAGCTCAGCGATGCTGCTTTGTTAGGAGATGTTGGGCAACAGGCTGATTGGTACATACACAGAGTACTGGCATTTAAATAAAACTGATTATTTTGTTTTGAAGTATTTCCCTGTAGCCAAGAGTCTCTCTTGGACACTTCATGTGCAAGAGAGATACAGGAGGCAATTTTTAAGTTAGGAAAAACGTGTCCATCCAGTGAAATCTCAGCTCCATCCCACAAATGATGCATTTGGGAGACTCCACAGCTGCAGTGATATGGGTTCTCTCATGCTGAGTGCTTTCAGAACTTCTTTAATTGTTCACAACCAATAATTATGATGGTTTTTTAAGGGAAAGATTTCACAAGCTCTCTGATGTTAACTTATGATAATAATGCTGACAGCTTACATTTTTTTGACTTATTTATTCTGAGTTTTCTTGTAAGATCCCCAAGAGATCATCTTCAGGGTCATAACCTCTAACTTAGGCCTCATTCCCACCCACTTAAAAGATGCTGCTTTTTCTCCCATGGAAAAGTTTCCATGATTTTGTATAAATAAAGGAGTTTAGTCCCAGAGTTAATCTCAACAGATGTAGCAAAGCTCTCACAGAGCTTGAGCCAGGATTAGAGGATTTGGCAAAGTATGAAAATGAATAGCAAGGGTAGTAGATATTTAGATAAATACAAGCTCATCTAAAGGTTAAAAAAAATCACTAACACCTTAAGCAGAGGAGGAAAGCACAAGCTACTGCTGTATGCAAGCATTTCTGCAAGAGCTACTGGACCTTATTTTCACTTTAATGTCAGTGTCTGGAACTGGAAGAGCCACGAGGCTTTAAGGGGAAAAGTCAAAGCAAAGCAATTTTCAGTGTAGGAGGAGGGAATTGAAACAAATGAGAAAGTAGTAGCAACATAAATGACACATGAAACAATATTTGAGATATTTTGATTGGGTTTTGGTTTTGACATAGGGCATTTTTACTAATTGGTCCCCTATGTTCCCATCACTTGCAGGTTATTTATTACAAAATGATGCACAAGAAAAAGAAAATGCTCTCTAATAACAGCCTGTTTTACTCCTGGCCAATCCAAGACAGACTATGTCCCTTTTTGGGAAATCCTAGTAAAGTTCAGGATGGAACATGGTTTGAAGGCAAGAGCCTCCAGTTTCTCAATCAGTGCAGTTTCCTAACCAGTGCAAGCTCAGGGAAGCACAGATACATTCAAAAAAATTTCAAAGTATACCCCAAAGAGAGAGAATTATTCTGAACATCAAAAGGCAGTTAAGCACCAAAAAAGGGCCTGTCCCAAACAATTCAGCTTCCTGAAACAGAGTTACTGATTGAAAAGACAAAGCATGAAGAAACAGGAGAACAAAGAGGGCTGGAAGGCTGTTAATGTGGAGGTGGCTGTAATTTAGGTAACAACCTTACAATGAAAGCAGTGACTCACCAAGGACATTTGAAAAGAAATAAGCTGGAGGAAAAAAATGTCTTTAAAATCATTTTACTTTAAGCAGAGAACATGATAAGAATCCTGGTGGGTTGTTTTGTTCTGCACAGGATTAAGTGTCTTGCACTGCAGTCATTACCTCAGGTATTGGGAGAGAGGCAACTGTAACAGGAATCTGCAGGAGAAACCCAGTGAGGTGTGTTCCTGAAGGAAAGCTCTGGCTGGCACAGGGAAATTTGCCTTCCATGCTGAATCAAAGCTGCAGTTCACCTTGAACATCCTTATAACCCATCAGATCTGCATTTCTGCTGAAGTCTGTAGCCCTGCCTCTTGTTCATCTGCAGAACACTGAGAAACCCCCTGATCTAACTGATGGGGGACAAGCAGAAGTGAATGCACCTCTGCCCAGCCACACGGGTCACACCTGGCTTCAGTGCACAAAACCAGGCAGGCTCTTTTCAGTCAAGATGCAGTTTTTTTCCATGTTCAGCAAAACCTTGTTCTCTTCCTATCAAGACCTGATTTACAGTGTAAGCTGGGGTGCAGCTGATAAAACCTTGCTCCTCTCCCAGCACAAAGCAAAAACCTGAGAAGTAACATGAACAAACTGTCCAAACATTTGGTCTTTGGACCTTCTCCTTTTATCTCAGAACCACAACTACCTGACATGACTGTATTTGCTGATTTTATTAATTTGAACGGCTGGATCAACAGATTTCTATCACATTTACAGTGGCTATTCTTCATAAAGGGGAACAGAATTCTTTGCCTATAACAAATGCTTTAAAGGCTGCAGTTCCCTCAGTTCTTAGTCCCATTGCTAAAGCAACATTTTTCACCTGTACATTTCTTTTAAGTATTCATCAAGTACACTCTGTGCTGAACTGTAACACAACCCTAGGTCTGGTCTATCAACACCAGAGAGAACTGTCCCTTCTCAGTCTCCCTGCAGCAGTTAGTATGGTCAAAAAGCTCCAGTCCAACAACGAATGTATTTATTCTGTACCCTGACAGGCTCTGGGCCCTAAACTTGCAACCCAGCTAAAAACCCTCTCCCTCTTTGCACAAGGCTACAATTTGCATCCCTTGGTAGCTGATGGAAATAAAAAGCTCTGATAAACACATCTCAAGGAAATGACAGAAACTGTCAGGAAAAATGCACCTCTGCAAACCAGACCCATGGTTGTGTGAAGAGATGTATCTGTGGAGTAATAACTGAGTTAGCAAAGCTTCTGAAATGACTGCCTGTCAACAGGGATGCAGATGTGGAAAACCACCTCTGAGCTAACTAGCTTTGCTCTGCTGTCAGCAGGACAGGAACCATGCAGCTGGTCTGTACCCGAGCTCAGCTGAAAGGCAGGAACTTCTTAAAACAGGCTAACTTCATTTTCTGCATGTGTGCAACACACCCTGAGAGCTGCTGAAACTCACATTGTGGCTGCTGGATTTCCACGGGTGTGGTTCAGTGGCCACGATCTGATTCATAGCGGGCAAGACTCCTGCTAGAATTTAAGATGCAAGATTATTCCACCCCTAATTTTCTGTTATGCAAAAAGATGGTGCTCCACTGCTGCAGCTGTTCAGATCTGTTGTGCCAGTACTGACTGGGGTGGATACAGACAAACTCCTTTTCAAGCAGTTTGCTCATCATTGTACCTTTGGGAAAGCACAACAGGATTGCTCTGATCTGAGAGACAGAAGGCAGTGACAAACTACTCAAGGGCTCCCTTGCTACTTGTGTCTTTAATCACCCATGATGCCCTTCATTTCTAGCCCCAGTTTCAGCCAGCCTGATGGCATGCACTGAGCAATGGGATGGAGCTGCTGGGTGGGGACACCTACACTTGTCACCCATCAGCTTCGTGCAAAGTGCCTGTTGTCATGCACAGACCACAGAGGATTTCTGTTTTATTGATTCACTTGGAAGTTAAATGTGGCACAGTCTGATCATTCCAAGTGGTGCTACAGGATTTAATTAATTTTTGATTGGATGGCAAAGACTAAAATCAGAACAGAAGTCCCACAAAGACACTATTCAAAACCAGAAGAGCGACAGTCGTTTGCTCAAGAAGTATCACTGCACTAACTCGAGGAACAGATTTCATTTCAGAGCAGGTATCATATGTCCACACTGCTCTGCTTTTACAAATGAGACACTAGCTGAATTCCTACATCTGATACTAACCCAACAGAAGCTGTATCTCACATGCTTTCGCTTATCAAACAGAAATGTAATCATGGAACTAACACTCCATTCAGGTAGGATCTGTCATGTTTGTAGATCCCATTGCACACAGCCCTGGTGCAGAACCACAGGCTGGGGCTGGCACAGAAGGGTCTGTGAGGGAAAATCTGAGAAGACCTTCCAGGCCAAAATATGCAAGTGTCTGGTCAATTCTGACCCTCTCCAGAGCAAACTCGTAATTCCACCTACTCACAGACAGCAGCTGCTGTATGAAAATCCCTCCTGCTTAAAAGGAGCTGAAATGTGAGACACTACAGTGTGAGGAGCCAGAAAGGCAGTTGACTCAACCCTCAGCAGCTTTAGGGTTTTGTTTCATAAATAAAGACTTTTTTTAAATTTCCCAATGAGCAAATCCAAGCAAGGGAACACCAGCTCTTTGGGAAAGAAATTGACATTTCCATGCAAAAGTTTTGGTACCTAATCCCCAGGTTTAGGATGTTTTGAAAATTCAGTCTAAATCTCTCTTCTACAGCATGTACAGAGACCAGTAACTGAGCACTGCACAGTAATGCAGACAGGAAAGCACAGGCTACTGGGTGCCAGTCCCAGTCAGTGTCTTCTCCACTGGCTTTTTCTGAGTCCTCCATGTTCTGACTGATCCAGTTTCAGACAGTGGCAGGAACGGGATGATGTGAGTAACAGTGTCAGCTGCCCTGGTGGGGGTGCAACACAAGCTTCCACCAACATCAGGCCAGCTGTCCATCACAGGGACATGGTTGTCCCCACCTCCCACAGCCAGGCAGGGAGACAACATGTTATGAAGACCTCCAGCCCAAGCTGGAGAGAAAGGGGAAGTCCTCAACACAGGGACACAGCTCACAACCATGAGTAACCCTATGCAGGCACAGCAGGTCTGTGACCACCTTGCTGAGCTCCCTGCCTTTATTTAAGTTGCACTATCAAGTCTGATGCTTGTGCCTACCTGAAATCCATGTTTCCCTCTCCACCACGTGGTCAGCTCCTTCGGGGGCATATCAATAACAGACACTATGTCTCCCACCTGCAAAAGATCAATATCAATCAGAGCCTGCAACACGGCCAGGAGGGGAGCACAGCCCAAAACTGCATTCTTCAGCCCTGCAAAAAACTGTGTGATGTGTGAGCAACTGCACCAGTGCCCATCTGGAGACATCTACCTTTGTAAAATCAAACTGTGAGGTAGGAGGGTTGCTGCTTTGTACAGCACAGAGGACCCAGCTGTTCAGAAGGAAACAACTCTGCAAGGCAGCAGGCTCTCTGCCAAGGGGTACAGGAGTCTCCTGATTAAACCATAGACAGAAGTAAGAATGAAGAGTGTAAAACACTTCACAAAACATTCTCAAGTAGCTGAACTAATTTTTACTACATGTCCTAGATATGTGTATGTAGGCAATGACATATGTCATCTTGTTTCCTTTCACAGCAAAAAGTGGAGCTCCCTTTGTAGCTCACAAACTGACCAAGACATGCTTTTCCTAATCAGGAAACATGCAGAAGTGGTGTCGTGGGACAGCAACAGGAAGGAAAACAAGCACAGAGACCAAACAGATTTTCTGAAGCTTTCCCCTTTTCCATTAAAATGTAATTCTGCAGTGGTTCAAAAGGAAATCAGTACAATCAATCCTGGCTGTGGTTTGGTGGGGAGATCAAGATTGTGTGGCCTCTATGACAGAAAATGAGATAGGCCAGAGCAGAAGGACAGAGCTCAATAAATACTGCAGCTAGGGACAGTAAAACTTGGTAACAGCCTTTGCCAGATGTTTTACACTGATGAGTCTCAAAGTGCTTTACAAAGAAGGTAACACAGCCCCATTTTTCAGACTGGGATAAGTGAGGCAGAGGGAAGTGCATTCCTCCAGGGCACAGGAAGCCAGCTGCACAGCACGTGCCCACTGAGGAAGCTGCTGTCACCACACTGAGCAGAGGAGTATTTTTCTGAGTACTAGGAGCAAATGCCAGGCAGCTACTTTTGTAATTGATCATTAGAAATTAACAACAGCCTAAACTAAAGTTTGGGTCGGAGAACAGAGCACTGAAAAGCAACTGCTCCTGTTCCACTGCTGTTCTGCCAAGGCTTCTCCCTGCACAAGCTCAGCAGGCCACACGTGCCCTGCCTTCCCTGCTGTGCCTCTTCACAACTCGTTGGACTGTGGGGCAGCTGCTGGCAGGGGCTGTAAGATTTACAGCAGCCAGTGCCATCTTAGTGCTTTTATTAATACAGAGACACTGACAAACAGCCTGTGTCCTGCACTGTGTGCATGTTAACTTGGAAGATGACACACTCACATGTCCTGTGATTAGCACAGTTCTTTGGTGTACACTAATAACTGCCTGGTTCTCAGCATGAACAAAACCCTGGCAGCACCAGATGAGCACAATTATTTTACTTCCTGCTGTGCTATGAATGTGACCACAGAAGCTCCTTTGGGCACTGTTTTCCTTTACACTTTTTTGTGTAACACTGAACACTGCCAGCACCACTGCACATACACACTCTGAGCATAAAATACCACTTTCTGGGCAGACTTCTCAGGAGCCAGATACCCAGATTCCAGGGCCTTCCAGAGCTTTGCTCCACAACAGCTCCTACTCTGCATCAAGTAAGATGTTCAAAACAGCAGCAGGTTATCACCTGCCCTTTAGGTACCAAATTTTTGACAGGCTGGTTCTTTACTTTTCATGGGAGCAGAAGCTCTTAAAAATTATTTTAGGCACAGACCTGTGAGCAGGAACACAGGCTGGGCAAACTGGCCAATGAAAAATTCAACTGGCCTGTGTCCAGGTGGACACATGTGGACAGTCTTCCTGAAAACAGACAATATACTTTTAATCCACCACACAATACAAACTATGCAGGGTCTGTTGCTGCTCAGAGCCCAGGCTGGAGCTCTTGGCAGTATCTGTTTACTTAGAAGACACCAATGCCAAGCAAAGCTGTATTTTAAAGATGACTGAACTCCTCCCTGTATCCAACCCAGTGCAAATTGAATATTCAACTGAATCTTCTAAGCTTCACCTCACAAAACATTCTGAAACTGAATATTTTCTTGATGCACACAAACACAGCTTACACTTCCATACATGACAACAAGGAATGCAAGCTCATTTCATTATTTACCTCAAAGGACAGCTCGTCTGCTGCTTGAGCAATGTATCTCTTAATAACATGGGCAGCAGCAATAGCAGGAACGTTAATGGATGATTCCTCATGGACTAGCAGGTGATTCCCCTTGTTATCAATCTGAAATAAAGAGCAGAGGACTGTGAGGCAGCTGAGGACAAGAGAGGAGACATTTTATTGGTGCTCACACATGGCAGAGATTTCAAGCTGATTCCCAGAGACAGCACAGCTTGGGGGCCCCCGAGGAGAGCAGCAGGGAGGGACAGCACAGGGCACAGCGCACCCAGAAAGGAAGAGAAATTCATAAAGCCTGTTTCAGGAGGTTGTAGGGCTCCTTCCATCCAGCACAAGACAAAAATGCTGCATTTGTTCATCTCTATATTCAAACAGGAACAGGGCAGTGACTGTTTATACCTCCTTTCAACACCAAATCATACTTGTTTTCCTGAAGGACTTACAATGGCAATACTAAAACAACTACCAAAATTCTTAGAAAAGTGGAATTAATGCTCAAGAAGAGGCACTGAGGAAAGGAGGAAATGCTGTCAAACTGAAAACTAGTGTCACATTCAACTTTCTTCCACCCTTTTATTTCTTTTTTCAAGAAAATAGGGCTCCTAGTCCTTGCTGCAATCAGCCTACTTTGAAAATTCCTTATTTATGTGCTTGTGTAATATCTTGTAAGGTTCTCAGTTAATTGGAAAGGTTACTGTTTTGCATGTGCAATAGGCTTGCTGTAAATTCTAGTTTCCTCTCTCTATATAACTTCCTTCCTCTCTTTGTGCTGAGAAGGTTTCCAAGATTTCTCTCATCCCAGAGGATTTCAGCATGATGAGTGTTATCAGTGGGGAAACTGCAGGAAAAATGCACTCAATCCTTATCACAACCATTTAAAAATGAATTGCAACAGTCTAATAATAGTTGTTTCTATTCCTGGTATGCAGCAGTTTCATCAGGCAATGGAAAGACACAGATGTCTCTGCCCAGTCTAACCAGCAAGAGCCCTGCTGACCCTGGCAGGTGCCCGGGATCACTCGGTCCCATTCTTTCCTGCACGCCTTGCCCACTGAAGTCTATTGTTTCAGATGGTAGAAGACCATTAACAGAGAAACCAAAGCTGCAGCTGCAATCCACAATATCCAAACAGTGCCACTGCAAGCCCAACACAAGCTCTGTTGGGCAGATTAATCAACAGTGATGGCAAACAGGAGCAGATCCTATTTCTTGTTTCTGCAGCTATCGCAAAGAAAAGCAAAAAAGCAAAAAACAAGAGGGCAGATAAACACCAGAACTCCAATCATTTCAGAAACCTGCTGCCCTTGCAGCACTGCCTTGCCAAAGAGGAGCAGAAGATTCTGTGCACTTTTTGCAACCTGTTACTCAGAGACTTCAACCATGAACTGGACTTGCCCAGATGGTGCATTGACACAACTGTTGCTCCACTGGAATGGCCACCTCCTTTTATTTTGTGATTATCAGCAGAATGAGATGTCTTTGGAGGATGAAATCCAAGAAAGAGGGGAAAAAAGCTCCTTTATTCTTAACATTGGATCTGATTCTGTTGGTTCTGTGGCCACCTATGTGCCTGTGACAGGGGAATGAAGCTGGTAGGAGCATTTTAGTGACACAAATAGGTCTGGAAAGATTATATCTCTTTCTGGAAGGGCAGAGTAGCCCATGTTTTACTTGCTCTGGTGCTAAGACCAGGAAATAAAGGACAACCTGAGCTCCATACTGTACCTCCATCCATGTGAGAGCAGGCCCACAGTTGATCTTGTTGCCTGCAATGGCTGAGAGCCGGGACAGGTAAGCCATCAGCATCTGGGTGACAAGCTGGAACAGAAACAGACAGACACACATGGTTCTGTTGGTGCCCCAGAGTTTGGAGAGACTTCTTCAGACTTGCAGAGACCATAAATCATCCATTGAAACAGACAAGTTTTATAGTGACAGATTCTCTTTTGCAAGGAAATCTCGTTTGGAGGGCAAACCCCACACAGTGTAACAATGGTCACCCAAAAAATGTGCAAAGCAGCAGCTCCCTGGGAAAGTAATAGTTGTTTTTATAAGATATATATTTTCCTAATTTCCCTTGTCAAGACACCTTAAATCCAAAGCTTTCCTCTCACCATGAATTTACAAACAAACAAATCATTTGTGTTATGGCCAAACACATCTGAGACCCATTTAGCAAAACAAAACTCTGGCTGCCACTTCCACCCACTTGCAAACCCTTCAGAATGTGGCAACTCAGAATGACCCCTTGGTGAAAGAGTAATATTTCAAACAGTAGAAGAGAGTTTTAAAATTACATTTAGCAATGTCCCTTCTGTAATGGTAAACTTGCTTTTATTCAAGAGAAGCTACTGAGGTCTTTCCAAAGCTTCACAGTGACAGTTATAAAGCAGCATTGTAGCCCAGAGTTTGTAGGACTGTTTAAAACATTGTTCTCTTCAAGCAGCTGTTAAATGTGGTCAGTTGAAAATAAAAAATACAGCATGGGACACCTCACAGCTGCAGAATTACATTTCACAGAGCAGCAGAGCTGTTCAGCATCTTTACATCTTCTGCACTTTCAGATATAATGCAGATTTTCAGGCTCATGCTGTAAGGT